CCTGCGAGAGAGCACTGTTCCCCATCCGTTCTCTCTGTAGGGGTGTGTTTCTCTTTCCTGACCAGTGTCTTCAAGTACAACTCAACGCCATCTGGGCGCTTCTGAGGTCTTCCACTTCTCCTGATATTCTCCACCATCCCTGTGGCCTCGTATTTTTTCACAATGCTTCTGACAGTAGATATGGGCATGTTCAGTTTCTTGGCTATAGATTTGTATCCAAGAAGTTCCTTTTTTTTCAAGTCAACAACCTGCTGTCGCAAATCCAAAGAAGTCTCCTTTACCTTCCCCATTTTTTTCCAGGGAGAACAATGTCTGAATACTTCCTAAAACCACAAAAAAAGCCAAATATTCCCTATCGTTTTGAAGGCTGCCTCAGTTCAAAACAGTACGAATTGTAATTTTAACGTGACGAGAAGAACTGCGTTGCAGGTATCACGGTTTCATGGTAAGTAGGTTTAACTTTCAGCAGTCCCGACCAAAGTGCAGCAATTTTACGATGACTTCACATGTGAATCTCTACTGATAACTTCTAAAATAAAGAGATTTGGTTATTCACAGAGACCAGCGTCTGTTCCTGGCAACAGCTTGATGCGACCACTTCACATCGTCTCATGATTAATCTTCTTGATGCAGAAAGTACTCAATTAAAAATACATTTCAAAATAAATCCGAAACATGAACAGAAATTGTCATAGAAAAACAAACTTTGCCTCTCTGCTTCTCTGTATGTATTCCACTACTCATCACTGCCTGCGTATCCATCTTTTCTCTTGCGCCAGTCACAGCCGCACTGCACTGTGGTCTGTGTGGTTTTATTTAACAAACGTAAGAATACACCGGCAAAGTATTTTTCTTACCTAAACTACAATTCCCATTTTGCTGTTTGACGCACATAACTTTATTTGTTTTCCTCATTTCCTCAGCAGTAAGTGTGTGATCCTTTTGCTGTTGCCTCCGTGTAATGAATTCACGAACGCAAGCATTTTTTTTAAAGTTTTCAAATAAAAAAAAGACCCGAAGTGCAAACTCACTGCATCCTAGCGTTCATGATGTTCAAACTCACGTTTCTCCGTGTGAGTGAGTATGTATGTAGGAACCGTATTATTTATTTAAACCTTGTGTACAACAAAACACGTTATTTTCTTTTTCACATATTTTGTAAAATGCAGTTTGACCAATCTTTAAAATCGTCTCAGTTCCTAAGAAAGGACTGAACAGGATACGGAGCCCTGTAGCCACTACAACGGACTTCAGTAGGTGTACACTCCTTTGCTCTGCTCTCTGGGTCCTGTTCTCCCACGTGTGTGTCGACATGGGTGCAGGTGGGCGTGGGCGTGGCCGCTCCGGCTTGCTTTAGCACAGGGGAACGAAACTTTGGACACAAAGGGGACAAATGTGACAAATGTGGAGGAACCCCTGATGAGCTGATGGGCCTGAATGGTGAATGGAGCCTCTGTCTCTCCTCCTGAGGCCCCAGCCCTGGCAGGGGATGAAACAAATCAGCCTTGCACCCTTTGGGCGAGTTGGGACAGCAGAGCTGGGCAGTTCGATTCCTTCTGGTGAATCCTTGACTGAATCAGCTCGTTCATTTGACTAACCAAGTCAGCTGAATAGAAAGCCACTGGATCAAGTTTGAGCCAGTGAACGAAATAGTCCCGCTGAATCGAGTCTAAAACAGTGATCAACTTGTTGCTACTAAATAACATATCATATAAGTAATTATTTAATGATTACCATCTATAAAGCTAAATTTAAAATAATATGCTCTGTAAAATATACATAATGTCGTGTGATATGTATTCTTGGTAGTGTTCGTTCATTCACATGGAAAGATATTTAGTTTGAGAAACAATATTATATTATTATGAAAATAATAGAAGAGATATCATGTATTAACAGTTTAATTGATGAGAACCTAACCTGTTTATACACACAGTTGTCATGAATAGGGTAAAAGAAAAACAAAAATATTACAAAAGTACACTCTTCTTATTTACCCATTTTTATTGCTTCCCCAATGTATAGAAAACATAAATGATATATCAATATAAAAACGTTCATTTTTTCACGGGTAGCCTTCCACTGTTTCCCATTTTGTGTCTATATGTCCCATTTTTGTTTTGCCTTCTGCAAGCCAATCTCTGCATTTATTCAAATTAAATGTCTTCTGCCATATGTTTGCCTGGTTTTGAATTTTACCTAACTTATTTTGAATTTTCTTTTGCTGCTTCTATAGTCTCCTAAATCAGTATCATCGGCACTTTTGACTAACCCACAGTTTCAGAACCTAGTGGTCCTAATTCAGATCCCTGTGGTACTCCACTAATTACATCACCCATATTTAAAGACAGGGACTGCTGTAGCCTCCCGGATTCTTGCAAGTCTGTGATGCCATGATCACATTCAAGTCCTTAGTTACTCTGCAGAATCAGGGCAGTATCATGGATCCAGAGCCCTTGTTCACAGTTGTGCCATTTTTCTTGTTTGTGTTTTCCTTTTTTCTGTTCTCCTCATGTGTGTGGGGGAGGGTGCAGGTGGATGCCACTTTGGCATGAGTCACACAGGACCCACACGGCAGAGAGGACATATGTGTGAAGGGTCTCTCATTGGGCAGGCGGACCTATGATAAATGGAAATTTCTCCAACACCTGAGAAACACCACCACAGGCAGGGGGATTTTAGGTTTGTGGGTTTCTTTGTTAATAAAGTTGGCATACTTCTATGTCTGTGGGTCTATGTCCTAAGTGCCCTCATTAAACACCAAACAGCAGGTTTTGATACAACATGCAAAACTAAATAATATGGTTATCCTACATCATACCATCCTTCATACATGATTTGTAGAAGTCTAAATCCTGGTAAGGGTCATGCCAACCTAAAGTGTATTCTGGAAGCACTCTGCACAAGGTGGAACCACACCATAAGCAACTGACAGACAGCAATAAGCCAGCATGCTCTCAAAGATACTCACATGGACAGGCTGAGAACATGCAACCTCCACACAGACAGACACCCCAAGCCTGTTAGAAAAAGCCAGGATCAAAGTGCTGCGATACCCAACCTGGGCGATGGACACAATGTCCCATGAAGGGTCAAGCCAGTTGAACTCTTTCACTAAAATTGTTACCTCTTCTCCAAGGTCTTCCTCACATTACATGTGTAATGTGGGGTACTGGGGCTAGATGTCCTCTCTAGTGGCCAGTTGTGTTCTGTAGAGCCCTTGGCAGCACTGTGGGAAAACAGTTCATTAATAATAATTGCTTACACTTATATAGCATTTTTCTGGACATTCCACTCAAAGCACTTTACACATAATGGTGACTACCATCCACCACCATTCACCTGGATGATGTGCCAGTACACTCCCGACACATGAGCTATCAGTGGGGAGAAGAACAAGAGTAATGAAGCCAATTCATAGATGGGGAATATTAGGAGACCATGGTTGGTAAAGGCAAGGTCCCCAGGGTAACACCCCTACTCTTTTTGAGATACACCCTGGGATTCTGACCACAGGAACTTGGGTTTGTATCTCATCTGAAGGACTGCACCTTTTTACAGTAAAGTGGCCCCATTACTATATTGGGGGCACTAAGACATACACGAACTGCAGGGTGAGCACCCCCTACAGGTCCAACTAACACCTCTTCCAGCAGCAACCTTAGTTTTTCCCAGGAGGTCTCCCATCCAGGTACTAACCAGATTCACACCTGCCTAGCTTCAGTGGGTTGCTAGTTGAGAGTTGCAGGGTGATATGGCTGCTGGCCTAAACTATTAAGGTTACTTGATGCTGGAAGCCTGTTCTTTACTGATCGCATTAACAGCACAGGCAGCAGTAGTTACAGAACACCACATCTCACTGTTCTCTTCTGGATGCTCCAGGCCCCAGGACCGTTTTGAGGTTTCCCTCCGGATAACCCTCTGGCCATTATGTGCACGCAGCAGGTGTTGTGCATGAGCTAAACACTTCAGCAGAAACAGAGCTTTAGCTACCTGGAAGTTTTTCGTGAGTCTATGATCTACAGTTCAAGCATGAAAAATCCCATGGCGAACCAGTTGCTCCTCCTGGTTTAAAGATGGAAGCAGTAATATATAGGTTCCATCATTTTTAAAAATACGTAATCCAGTCAATAGTGCCACAGCATTTCTGACACAATTTGTGTGTCAAAAGGGCAGTTTCCATGTAAATGCAAATTGTGCATAAACATCTGAATCAGCTGAGTTTTAAATGGTAGTTAATTGATTTTAATGATAAATTGCAAACTTTGCTAATACAAATGAGGAATTAAACGTGCAATTAATGTAATAATTCAGTCTTCCAGACAACACAGGACTGTCACCTGGTGCTGACATATTTTTATTACCAGAGCTTGTATTAAATATGACTGAGATAAATGTATGCTTGTGGGGGATAAGTTGTTTATAATTGTCTGAGTATTCAATATTATCTTACATATGCATGAGACAAAGGTTTTATATTGCTCTCAGACACGACCTTTATCAAATAGCCATGGTGTCTTTACAATGACCCTAGAATTGATTTTCAGCATAAACAATATAAACACTGTTCTGTGTTGATGACAGTATAATTGTCAAATTGTTGGGATTTTTATGTATGTTAAAGTGTACCACGTGTGTGCTATTGTTTACCGCTGGGAAAAAAGCTAATGAATGTATATCATTTGTATTAATTATTGGTGGTAGCAGTAGTATTATGTCATAGACGGAACTCTTTGCGTGATCATCTCAAATGATGCATTATATTTTTGAGTTTCTTTTAAGAACACGCAGACTGTGACCTGAAATGGTTCCTTGTGCTCAAACGCTTAAATAAACAGGCAGTGCATTTTCCTTTTTTTAACTACAGTACTCCCAGGCCTGCTTTTTGAGTGCGCAGATACTCGAAAGGGCTGGGTAACCAAAGGAATGTGTCACACTAATGCAGAGCTGTAATGATGTCAACTTGTTATTTACTTTCCAAATCTGAATGACTGAGCAAGGCGAAAGGAGAATTAATCAACCACAATGTGACCGTGCAGGCGAAAAAAACGAGCTCACAAAGCACACGGCCGCGTGGGGGGAAGGGATACCGATCTAGCACATGGACCCAATGCAAGGTAACGTTGCATGATGTAGTAAAGGTTGTACTTAGGATTTATTTTCTTCCAGTAAATGTGACTATATTTCGGAGTCTGTTTGAAATATGAGTAAAACGACTGAGTTACATAACGAAAAACACTCAAAGAGCGAAAAATAATTGCTTATCATTAATGCTGATTCATATTCCAAAACGTACAAACGCTGTTTACCTTGAATTTATTTGGGGGTAGCAATCTATGTATGTGTTTTGTGATAGTTATTCTTATGTTCAGGTCATTTGCAGAAATGAATAACCGTTCCCATGTTGCTTTTGAAGGCAAGGTACAGCCTACATAATCGAGAGTAGACCTATAAAAAAATCAAACCACATAATATTAGTTTATACTGAATTATATTTTTAGAAACTCTTAGTATATCTGAGAAAAACCAAAAATGAGGTGTTGTAAGTCTTAAAATTCGATTTTTTTTCAAAACCTGGCATAGTTTCAGTTTTACTCAGACTTACCTTGTAAGTTTTTTTTCTGAAAATTAAAAATCTGTGTTCATATTAAAAACAAAGTGGCTTTAGTCTATGATACTTCGCGTCTAAACAAGCACACCAGTCCTCTGCGTGACCATTATACAGCAATGTGTGTTGTCAGGGATGCTGCGCTAATTGTTTCAGTCTTTAGCTGATCCACAATGTAAAATGTGTCTTCTAATATTTTTTCCCATGTGGAAATAATGCTCTGTGAAAGCGGGTTTAAGGTCACTCGCTGATTTTTCCCTTGTAGGTCACTGGCTGTGGCTCTCGTCTCAAAAGTGGCTCTCTCTCTTGGTCTGCGAGTGGTTGCCGCTGTCTCCTGTAGCTTCTCTTACAACGCAGACACAGTAACTGCTAATGAAATAGTTAGCGGCACCTCCTGACTTCATTCCACTCCAAACTTTACCCTCTGGCTTGTCTGCCCTTGGTGTATACGACATATTTATTTCGGGTTTCTCTGGGGTTTGCGGATTACAGGGTGCAAAGGACACACGGGAGCCTTCTGCTGAGTTGTAGCGAATATTATGTGAAGAAAAGTCCGCATTTCCTCCCTGAAGTTGGAATCTCTTTCCTTGTGGAAGTGAAAGCTCTGTCGTCGGCGCGCACACACTCGTATTAAGGTAAAATCAACTCTTGATATACCGCAAATTGTGAAGTTTCAAATGATTGTTTTAAGTTGTCTTTTATGCGGTGCTGTACAATTGCAACATCGTCTTAAAATTTCCTTGTTTTTGCATTACTTTTTCGGCGATGTGTGCTTGCTTTAAAAATAGTTGATCTGGTGTGTCTAGGTTAATCACACTGTAATTCATTTGTTCTCCTTTACGGGGTTAGTGTGGCTTTTAAAGAGCAGCAGTTGATGTGAGTAAAACTGGAGACCTAGTTTGTTTTGCCTTGTGGAAACTAAACGTGTAACCTCTTGAACTGTGCTGTTAATGTGTTTAATATGGAGTCGTGAGCGTTTGAGCCAAAATATTGTCACCTTGGTTTTGATAGCTTTTAAAAGTGCTGAATGTTGTGATTCTTTCCTGCACTTCTATTTTTTAAAAACAAATCTTTCCAGATAGGAAGGTACAGAACTAAGCCATGCAGATGGCCAGACTTCAGAAGTAAGTGGGGGGGATGGGCGGCATGTAGAATTGTACCAGCAGACCGTGTCTTTTTAGAAGTATTTTGTTAGCTGGTGGATTGTTAAATAAAGCAACCAGATTCCTCCAACTTTCTTCAGAAATTGTCTGACTGCTGGCTACCAAGGCCTTTTCTGTCTGCTTTGTATCTAATTTAGGAAATGTTGAGCCCTATAATCCTGCTCATAAGTGTATTATAACAATGCAACTTCTGATGTAAGCTCAATAGCTACACATTGATGGTGCACTAAGTGAAGAAAAGTCACAATGCCACCCTTAAGACATGGAGCAGTGCCAGCTAATGTACCTCAGCCTGCAGTGATCCATATTCTGTTTGTGATCACCTGTTGGACACAGGCAGAAGGATGTGATGCTGGTTACAGTGTGGAAAGTTGTTTGAAAAATTATAAATCATGGAAATTAAATTTGAGTAAACAGTTAAGTCACCTAGGTTTTTTAGTTATGGATAAGGATGTTTATTTTTTATCCAGTACGATGTGATTCTCAAAAACAATATTACCACACATAAGCCTTGCGGCCTTTTAGAAAATATAGTACGCCTATTTCATTTTCCATGTGAAGATTTCATAGTAATTAAGTAATAACTCAATGTGGGTTAAAGTTGTAACAACTTCAATTTGCCTATTTTGGGGGGCTTTTCAGAGTTTCTCCTGTGTTGTACATATCTGTTTACAACATCCTGAGCTCTCCTGAATAAATCAGGTGGTTATTACTGAAGGCAGATCGGAGGGGTGGTCATTCCAGTCAGTTTTCTGCTGTTAAACTACAGCAACATGTGGGTGGCAGAGAGAATTTGTATTTCTGTGTGTTGAAGCACTATGAATCAATTCTTCACTGGCCTCCTGTTGAACAACAACAATATAGTCCAGGTGGAGGGCTTAGGGCAAAATTCAAAACCTGTTATATTCTCTACAGAACTACATTTTAGTGTTTTTTTTTATTTCTTAGCATTGTCTGGAAAATGTGTGGGTTTGTTGGCAATTATTGTTGAGTAATGGAGATAACGGGGAGGATGGCTGCTTTATGGATATAGAGAGCCATACATCATTTTGCTTGTTTGAATTTCAATTGCTCAGTGAAACAGCTTGATTGTACAAATGTGAAACTTCCTTGAAGGAGTAAAAAGGCCAGTGTATCATGGTGTTGTAATACTAAGTGCAGTAGAAATACACCACAAATCCATAGAAACATGTTCACTCATTATGGTGTGTGTGTGGTGGGGGGAGGGGGTGACTTAGTTATGCCAGTTACATAATATTTGCATTACATTATCAAGTTATCTGCATATCTGTAAGGAAGAGCATGTTTCCTCCTTACTGTGCAGCAACAGAAACTATAATTTTGTTTGTAATAGAACCTGAAATGTTGAAAAGACTGTCAAGAAGACAGGAATCTTCTATTGTACTAACTGTACTGGATGTTGCAAGATTAACCTTGGACAAAGGTTTGGGGCTGTTTTATATACCAGGAATAAAGGGCTGTACTTATTTTAATGATTAATTTGACATGCTTTGAAAGTGAGGATCAACCAGCAGTTTGGAGGAGTGGTTAGGTCTCTGCTCTTGTAACTAGGAGGTTGCAGGCCATTGCTGTTGGATCTCTTTGCAGGTTATTTCACTCAGTGAAGTAACCAAGCACAGTGCTCACTTGTAGAAATGGGTCTTCTGCAGGTCATTGTAAAGGACAGTTTGTTCTCATTTGAGTTGCCCACTTTAAAGGTACAGTGGCATCACGAAGAAATATCAGTATTGGTTGAATGTGCTGAAACTCTAGTTCCAAGAGATTCTGAAGGCAGTGTTGCTCATTATGCCCTGGCCATTCAGACTCTATCTAGTGTCTGTTTCTTTATTGACTGTAGAAGTAGTGTGGATGTTCCATATCGGATAATTGGGGTTGAGTGTGGAGAGAAGCCTAATGAAAACTCAAAAATGGTTTATTTCCAACCATATAAACAGCTGCAGCTCTGCATTTGGATCCATTGTTTTCTCTGAGCGGATTTTACTTTGATAAAGTATATGTGTTGCTCAAATCAAATGCAAGTAGCTGTTAAAATGTATCATTATTTCTTGGTATTGCATATAAGGAAATTTTCTCAGGCATTAGGAGCAGACAGTGTAACCTAAAAGAATTTGTCATATGTAATATTTGACTACATATTTTTATTTTTTACCCTAGAGTTGTCATTAATTTATGTCAATATCACATTTGTGATTTTTCTGTTGTAATATAATCACTCTTGAGTATCTGTAAAATTGCTCTCATACTACGTATTTCTAAGCAGAGGGATAGACCTAATAATTTGGATGATGTTGTAACTCCATTACTTTCCAATGATTAGCTTTTAAGAAAAGATTTATTTTCTGGTAAGTGTCTGTAAGACATACTTCCAGCCCAAAGTCATGAAGTGCTCTCCAACATGGCCAGAAATCACCCTATGCCAAAGGGCTGGCCTCCTACTGTTGTAGAGTTCAATGCTCATGAGAGTCTTAGGAGTTTATGTCATCGTAACAACCTTATGTAACCGTCAGACCTTTTATATGTGTCTCGCACTGATTTAGGACATGACTTAAGAGAAGTAAGAAAGTGTCAGCTAATTATTATACTGGGTGTAACTTATGAAAGCCTCGGTGGAAATCTAGGGGTAGACCATGGAATATTTATATCAATGTGCAGGTAGTGCGCCAAAACGTGGATGTTGCATAGCCTGTATGAATAGTGGCATAGACTCTCCCGGCATCTGGAATTCTGCAGTGTTCCACAAAAAAGTAAATCAGGTCATTCATTGTTGATGGAGGTGGAAAGCTCTGTCTTGGTAATCGTTCCATAATATCCCATCAGTGCTTACATGAATTCAGATCTGGTGAATGTGAAGGCCATGACATACAAATAACATCAGTGTCAGTGTCTAGCTTTTCAAACTATTGGGCACACTGCAGCATGACTATGGTTTTTGCTCAGTGGAGTTCTCTGTGGACTATTTTTAATTAAAATGGCTACTTGCATCCAAGGCTGAAATTTGTAGCTAAATGATCTGCAATAGCTCGCCTGTCTTGCACTTTGTATTTATGCAGGGACATCGCCATCCTGGCCCATGCGCTCCCTTGTGGGGTGTATGTTGACATCATTTTAAACAGTGTTATGTGTGAAACATCAACCTGTCATTCAGAGTCACTGAGGTTTGTAATTATAGGTAACCAGGCCCCTCTAGTATTTTTGTACATGACCAAAAGCATGCTGGGATTTTATTTACTGAAGTGACGCATGAAATGCCCTTTGCAAGGTTTTGGAAGCCCCTGTTTTCATTATACTTCGTCCCGCTTGTACCCAGGTTTTCCATTGAGTGTGTTCTGTTAAGAGTTAAACAGAGAGAGAGTTTAAGGATCTCCTAGACACGCACAGATTAATATAATTTGAGTTGTGCCAAGTTAATTGTGATTTTGGGTAACCAAATATATCCATTTTCCTTATTTTATTTATTCACATTTTCTTCCTTACCTTGTTCTTCAGTATTATTTTTTACTAATGGTTAATATAAAACTGCATGTTACACATTTAGGATTAGGCATAGAAACTTGTAAAGAAATGGTATACATTTTATGCACAATCAGTGTTGTTTTTGCCGTGTTCTGTGGTTGGTACTGTCTTGTGATTGGTATTTTGCACTCCCGTGAAAAACTCTTAAAACACTATAGAAAAGCTAATTAAAGGTTTCCATGACTGGCATTTTTTGATGAAGTATTTCACACCTTACACAAGCTTGGGAAACCTGATGAAACAACATGCAAGAAGAATAATTGCTGTTTTTAATCCCAGATATCCCAGAGGGCTTACTTGTGGTTGTGGTGGTGGTGGGGGGGCACTTCCTTCATATGCACCCATTATTAATCAGCAGCCCCAAAGCTGGAGAAGAGAGAAATTACTTCATCCCTTGAATTAAGGGTAGATTTTCTGGAGGACTGATGTAAGCCTAAGGTGGAATTTAGCCAGGATGCCAGAGTTGACAAACCCACTCTTACGAACATGTGAAATGACCAGGAAGTTGGGGCTTTACTTTGCTGTCTCTGTAGTCCCTGTGGGTGAAGCTCAGTGGCACTGGAAACCCTTAGTCTTAGCAGCTTCCTTAGCCTCGCATGGCTCCAGGGTTCTGCTAAAGTTTAGCAGTGGAACTGAGGCATACCACTTGGCTGTTGTGTGCGAACGGGCCAAAATCAACCACCTGAATCATGAAAGCACTTAGGATCTATGAAAACACTAGAGCATCATGGAGACTAAATTCACCTCAAAATCCATAACTATAATTTTGAGTTTAAGGCTGCAATTTGGAAATCAGTGACACCTCAGTTTAATAGTCAAATAATTTGTAGGGTTTTTAATGTTTTGCACTATTCATGTTAAAATAAGGGTACAGAAACTATTGTCTTCTGATTTCTGGGCTACAATATGTCTCTTCTGGGACAGTTATTATTCCAATT